AAACACAACCAAACCAAGATTCACCACAAGAGTAACGAAGAGCAGAAATTAAATGCAGAAGAATAATAAGAAAGAACGCACCATATTTTATAGTGGTTCGGTCAACTTGACCTATGTCCACTCCTCAGAGGCCCCCTCCGAGTATTGCACTAAACTCAGTGTCTTTCCTTTTGCCCCTATATAGCAAGACGGAGAAGCCCGTACAAAACTCCTTTCCACCAACCACGGTGAGGCAGAGAACCTAACTCATTTTGCTTCCTCCAGAAGCAGATAGAGAACCCAACTCCTTTTGCTTCCTCTAAAAAAAAGGTAGAGAACCTTGATCAGTTGCTGAAGTCTACCTCTCTCAAACCTCCAAGGAACCAGGGACGATGACCGGAGAAGACGACTCAGATCCTTGCTTGGAGCAACTTTTATGAAACCCCTCACAAACTCTTCCTCATAAGATCCTCTCTCTCTCTCTCCCTTTCTCTTCCTCTCCTTTTGGCTCTCTCAGTTCAGGATAACAGCTAAAGATTTCTTCTTGAAAAAATAATAGATCTTTTAAACAAGGGCTTCAAATTAGCCCTAATTAGCAAATAATTATCAAATATCATCCAGGACAATCGACCTATCATTCCGTACGATCAGTTCAAATTTAGCTCAATTAGTCAGGACGATTTCGAAGAGTCTAGACGATTAGAAGGTTAATTTGTTCAGATCGTCCAAGACGATAGGATATCGTCCTGTATGATTAGTTCAATTCATCGAATATCGTCTAGACCATCACCCTGGATGGATGTCTGGATGATGAAAAAATAGCTCGATCGTTCAGGATGATCTCACGATCGTTCAGGCTGATTAGTACAAAACGATCAATATTATCCAGAATATTGCCCTGAATGGATGTCTGAACTATGGAAAAATAATTTGATCGTCCCAGACGATTAGTTCATTTCAATACATATCATCCAGAGCATCGCCCTGAATAGAACCAGGCCGATTATACATCATTCAGGAAGAACTAAGGTTTGTTAAATGATCGTCCCGGATGATCCTGTGATCGTCTAATATGATATGATCGAGTAATCAAACCTTAATTATTTTTCTTAATTACCAGATTAATTTATGCATAATTGCATTACATCTTCCTAGATGATGTCCAAAAATAAAACATGCATAAATAGATTTGGCAGCTTATTCTTTCTGATTTGAGCCTATCGTCCCGGACGATGCTAATATCGTTCAAGACGATTCGCTTAATGATGACTGCCTTAACTAGGATACCCTAATTAGGGTTTCTATTTTTAACTGATAATTCAGGATGATTTTTGGATCGTCTCGGATGATGTGATCAAAACTAGAAAACGCTAAAAACATACATAATTTTTCTCCAAAGTGTGTGTGTGCAAGGTTACTTAGCATCAGGACCCACATATTACAATGGACTCAAGGAAAAAGTAAAAGGCACTTGACGTACATTACAAGCTGACTCAGTCCTAACCTACCCAAACTTGAGATGGTTCGATTTGCAATTTAATCTTGTGAACCTGAAACGTTAGTAGGCAAGGCAATCGTAGAAAAACAAAAATATTTGCTATCATCAAAATTCTATTTCCTGAAATCAGATTCATAACACATGCAATAGGAACTGCAAATATAAATAGAATAATAATTAATTTTAATTTTAATGCAATACTTAAATGATATATGAATTATCAAAATTACCAGTAAGAAGCCACATTGCTTGTATAATATTATACTTACTATTTTTTTCTATTCAAATTCACATGAATATTTTAAAATTTTTATATTACTATTATAATTATTCGAAAATCCTTAATCAACTAATATACTAAAAAATTTTTGTTGGAAAAACCAACATGCAAAAATCTAATTTCATATAGGGGATGTTGGGTTAGAGGAAAGGTGAATGCAAAGTAAATTAAATGCATTACTTGTTTACTTTTATATTTGTTGGACACAATGTGAAGTAAAATAAAATCTTGATGTATTCCAAACCCCTTGTTCTCATTTTTTACATAAAAAGAGCCTTACTTGTTTTGAGTGAAAAAGGAAATCACGCGTGAGAAAAAAGAGAGAAGCCCCCAAGGGAAGCATCTTCATCTCTTCATTCACATGGTTTATTCTGCGTTGGATGTCGATGTCGGCGTCGAGGAGAAGTGCAAATCGGCTGGAATTTTTAGATTTGGATGCTCGCAGCGTTGAGGAAAAAGAAATGATTCTTATCCTTTGGCGATTCAAGCATTCCGTCGGAACGACTTCAACAGCTTCGCACTATGTGTGGTCTCCGGCGAGGCAAATTATTAGGACCGGCCATCGAACCTAAAAATAGGTCCGGACATCGATCCAATGAAAACTTGCCATGTGGATTGCACTTTGACTGTGCTTTTGGTGCACTTTTGACTGTACTTTTTGACTGCGCTTTAATTACGCTTTATCTGCGCTTTTAACGTACTTGACTTAAATTTCTGCGGACACGTGTACATTCCACGTGAAGAATTTTTAGTGGATGTCCGAGCCTAGAAATAGGTCCGGAGACCGGACCCAATAATTTTCCCTCCAGCGAGGAGCTACATGATAAGAGGATTGAGCAGCTCGGTAGGCAAGCGGATCGCCGCGTTCCATGCTCAATGGTCAGTGAGTTCAAGGCCCTCTTTGTGATCACAGTTATTCTCATTTCATACCTCATTAACAGGTAAACGATGTTGTTCAGTATAACCTCATCTTTTTCATATCACTCTCATTTTTTCTCGCCAATTTCGAGCTTGAATTCCCTCTCTATTGCTCTTGCTCTCGCCTAGGCGGGAAATTGATAGAAAGCAAAGTAGGTCTACTCTGCAATAAAATCCCTGGACCCAATTTTTTCTACTAGTTTTTTTGGGCGCATAATAGGGTTTCTGATGTTTCTTTGTTATCAATATATCACCTTGGAACTCTAAAACTAACTATAGGGCATAAGAAGATAATTAAACGGAGCCTAAGGGGCCAAATGCCGAGCCTGAAGCAGTGCAAGGCTGAATTTGACAATGAGGTCGACAATAATGGGGCTGTAGAGAGCTGTTGAAAGAACTGGAAGAACCTCCTACCCCTGCCGGCCGCTTCCTGCTACCATTGATCGTTGCCAGCCACCTTCGTTGCTGCTGCCGGCGTTGCATTCACTTTACTTCAGGCTAAAAAAAAAAAAAGCATTTAATTTGCACTCAGCCAAATAATTTTAAAGTATTTCAAATATATTGCAATCCTTTTACTACGTCTCTTTCAGGCAACCAAACAAGCTCATAGTCTAAATGTTCAGGATAAAGCGTACAATAACAAATTAAAAGTTATGTGGTGAAAACGGTATAAAATTAAAAAAAAACATTTGTATTCATATTTTTTATAAAATAATTAGAATTGATGAAATCAAATATAGCTGTTTAGATGTCTATCTCATTCTTCTCATCTTCCTAGCACTGTTGTTGTAATAACCCAAAAGTTTAAAATGAACTTATTTGAAAAATATAAAAAACAAATATGGGTTTAGTACAATGGCGGAGTACTTGTAAGCACAACGGCATTGAGAGCAATGTAATGCAAGAAAATGTCATCGCGCCATTGAAGGCTCTATTCTGTAGTCACTTTAGGGGCGACATATAGTGTTATAGCACTGGGGTGGATGAGCGACATGGTGGCAGGCACTAAAATAAGTTTATATATATTGTTTACGTTAAATATATATCCTGTCATCTCTCACCCCTCCCTCGTTTACGTTGCTTGGTTAGGAAGGAAAGGAAAAGAAGAATAAGAACATGGGAAGAGAAGGAAGATAGGAGAGAAGGAAGAGAAGATAAATAAAGCTCCTCAGGGTGGTTTCATCTGTTGCTTGAAGTAAGTGATCATAAACTTACTCCTATTTTTATGACTTTATTTTTATGAATTTAATTTTTCTAAAATTGATAAACATATATTTTTCTTTGAATTATTGAGCTTTAATTGTGTAATTTTTTTGTATATGATATATATGATCATCACAAGTATTTTGACTATAATATCATTGAATTTTATTTGGTAAATTGATAGTTATGATTTGATGAAATTAATGTACAATGTATATATTTTTTGGCATTTCATGGATTATTGCATTTTAATACATGATATTATATTACATAAAGAAAATAATATAACTAATATATGAGGTAAATGTGATATTTGCATGTAAACAAAGAATGTTAATTGTTAACATATAATTAATACATGTTTACTCTTAAAACATAATGCCCAATAGAAAAGGGTGAGCCTATGAACTTTCTTTAAAATAAAAGTTTGGTGATGTGATCATGATTGTAGCCTATAATTGATTGACTAATTACATTGATAGATAAAGAGTGACAACTCTTAAATATTTATTGAAAATCACCTGTGAATTTATTTAACATAATGAAAAATGATGAAAAGATAAAAATTGATGAGTAATTGGTCGACCATTGAGGTTAAATTAAAGATTGATTATTAACTAATCAACAGTTATGATGAAAGGATAAAAATATCACATTAAAGCTAGATACCATGCTTCGCTCTTCATAATCATATTTATGATTATATTTTTTATGATATTGCATTGAGTTGTTTGATAGATACAACATATATAAAACTGATTGAACTAATATTGATTTAATACAACAGAGCATAGCATATTAACACAACATAATAGAGTCTTGTAATTGTTTGTGTTATGGTATTATATACATCTTTTAGCTTTACTTATCATATTGGTTTTACTATTGATTGGTTTTAACTTCATAGATTACTTAGTGTTCACACTCATATCTTATTGATTGGTATAAACATTAATTGGAGCAAACATATTAATTGTTTTGACTTGCATTGAATGCAGTGATAAGTTTGATGACTTGTTGGGCTTTTTATGCTCATTACATGATTTTTCCATGATTTCAGGTAAAGACAAAGAGACTGTGGAATAAGGCTAAGGAGTGATGATGGTTTGATGTTAGTTTAATTTTCTTCCAATTTTTATTTTTATTTTTTTATTTATTTTATTTATATTCTTTTGTAGCATGTGGTGATTATTGTATATATGCTTTTGGACTTTAAACTTTGAATCAAGATGTAAATATTAATTATAAAAATATTATTATATTTATTATTATTTATATTTTCCTTAAATATAGTTAGCTCTGATTGTCAATGGTATGCTTGTTAAAATAAAAAAAAAGATAATTGAAAAAAAGAAGTAAAAAGAAAATGAAATTCTTCCATTTTAGATCCCGGGACATCACAACTACTCTTCCAGAGAATCTTCTAGATTCTCCCAGTATCTCTCCATCAGAGGGCTTGGTGCGGCGGTGGTGCACCCAGTGCCAACGCTCCCTCATTTTCTCCTCCTAAACAAAGAGCTGAATGTCGTGCACTACCCATCACAGCACCGTGGTACTCCTAGATAAAATTTTAATGAATTAAAATTTACTTCCTCAATTCACTTTTTGACTTACCTAAAGATTTAGTAGGCATTCTAGGACATATAATCATCAATTAGATCAAGATTAAATGAATATTTATTCTAAATTAGCTTAATTGCTTGGGTTTTGGGATCTTAAGGTATGGCACAACAAATATGCTACAATGGATGGGACAAAGAATCACGATCCCATAAGGGTGAGCTAACTCCAAAGTCCATTCTCAATTTGGATTGTAATATGAAACCTACCTGCATGAAGCCGTAATCCCTTTAAATCATCGATCAACCATACAACAATGAATTCATTCATAGGCCTTGTATACACCACACATCACACTATGAGAGCTGGTCATGCTCAAAGTCGTTACCGTAACCACAACGAGGTGGATATTGAAGGCAAGGCTAGTGATTGTAGTGAAATAGTAACAAGGTGGCCACATTGGGAGTATTTAAGTTAGTACTTTATTCATTTTTCAAGCATAAGATTTCTCGTTAGGAGTCATTTGGTTGACAACAAAAGGAATGCAGAGTAATACGGAATGCAATGTAAAATGAATATAATATATTTAAAATATTTGGAGTTATTTGTATGAGCGTAAAATAAATATAGGTGATTTTTTTATCTTGAAGAAAAATAAATGTACTGTAAAGCTCAATAATGATGGCGTCCATTTACTAACTGTGGGCAGCAGCCATAACGGCCTACAATGGTGGTAAGGGCCATAGTTGAAAGTTAGGACTCATTTGAGGATATTTATTTAATTCTAACAAAAAAGCTGTTATGGTTTGTTGAAAAAAAGAATGCATTACAAAAATAATTTAGTGTAAAATAAAATTTGGTTTATTGAAAAAAGAAAATATAATGTAAAATTTCAATGAATTTATTCTTCACTTGCTACGCCGTTTTTGATGTATTGTAAATTCGTTCAATTTTAATGATCAGTTTTATTTTTTTACAGCAAACCAATTTTAACGCCCCATTATAAATTGTCTACCATCACCCGCCGCCACCCATTACCTATAGACACCCCATCACCTATAAATTGCAACAAATAATTTTACTTTATATTACATTTATTTTACTTAAAAAGAAAATAAAGTCATACCTTATTTCTACAATCATTTGAACAACTTGGTTGAACAACTTCAAACATCACACTAATCACAGCCCCAAAGTCAAATTTGCTAATTTATTTTGGATGAGCCTGATACTTGCACCAAAATTTTTTCTTCGGATTGGTGCCGGTGCAGGAATTTCCCTGTTATCGACAACTTCATCTTCATCCCGGCGAGGGAGATTAGCAAACTATAGACGCCTCTCGAGTGGATTCGAAGGTTTAAGAAGCCAGTTAGGTTTTCTTCTTTTTCAGCCTCGTGCTTCAACCATGGACACGAGCGCGCCGGCCCTGAGCTCCACTCTTTTCTTAGATCGCGTCGGCGAGGTTGTTCTCAGTCTTAATTCTACTGGTTTATCGTGGATTCCTGCTTCTATCGTAAGTGCTTCGAAAACGAATATGCTTTTTTTTTTTTCTTCCGATTTTCATCTTCTTCGGTTTTGTGCGTTCTAGGTTACCAGTTGTTATCTGGACATTAGTGGTTGAAATTGATGATGAGATTTCTGTCATACGAGGACCCTTTTGTTCCAAACTCTCAATTTTTTCACATTTTATATATTTTCTTCATTAAAATTCCGTCAAATTTTGTTCATACCAGATGTTTATAGCATATTTCTTCCAATATAACGAGTAACGCTTCTGTTTGAGAAACTTCATAGATGATTTTAATTTATGCTTTCTTTGAGTATCTGGTTAATGAAAACTTTGTTTAAAGCATTTCGGTTCCGTCTATGTTACTATTCTCAGCATTTTAGTGTTTAAGGATAGCTCAAAGTAAAATGCCACCTCACTAATTCTTTCAAGATAACTTTGAATTACCAGGATCCAGAGGAAACTTTTTGCTGTCAGATGATGTTTCATTCGGAGGTTGAAACGGAGATCAGATTTTCAGATGTTTATGCTGTCGAATTTACTGGATTGGGTTTGATCAATGGTCATAATAGCACCGAGGTTTTGAATGTTTTATTGTGCATCGTTTCCATTTTGTTGGAACTGGCACACGTGATCACAATATAATGTACTTATTTTTTATTTTCTTAAATTTGAGTTAAACATGCTGTTTTTGATTCTTATTGAACTTTTGTTCATGCAGATGTATCGATTCGTGGTGCATGGTTTTCAAAGAGGAAAGAATAGCACTTCTCCATATGTTCTTTCTACTTACACCTTTGGACATAGGGATTCACATGCATGCCGAGAATTGTTTGACCAAATAAATGCTTGCATGAAGTTGCAAGTTGGAAGGCCTAAGAATCTTTTGGTACACCATTCTAACATGTCACTCTTTTTCAAATTGATCAAATTGCCCTAATCTTTTAAAATGGATTTGGATTTATTGTACATATCAAATCTCATGAGCTTGTTGGGTTAAATTATGATGATGAAGAAAGAATTTTACATGTTTTTCTAGGTTTTCGTTCATCCACAATGTGGGAAAGGAAATGGCTGCAAAACTTGGGAAGTTGTTGCCCCACTATTTTCCCGTGCAAAAGTGACTACAAAGGTGGGCTAGTTATACTTCATATTTGACATTTGTAATAATGACACACTTTTAATTATTGTGTGGAAGTCATCATCAATTACTTATCATGGTTTTGTTTAAAAAAGCAAGTAATTTTGTGGTATTGGGCTTAAAATTAATGGTTTTAGATTGCTTGGTTACCTTTTTTTAGGTAACGGTGACACAAAGGGCTGGACACGCATATGATATTTTGAAATCTTCAACGGATAGGGAACTTAGGTCTTTTGATGGCATTATTGCAGTGGTATGTATATATATTATTTTCCCTATGGAATAGGCTCACTTAAATGTGAACTGCATAAACATCTTAACCATTGATATAAAAGCTTTGCTCAAATTTATTGAGATATTAAGAAGGGAGGGGACAAAAGATAGTCATGAATTTTTAGAACCTTGATGAAGGTTTGCTTATTTTATCTTCTATCTTATTGCAATCCTAGAATGTCTTATATAGCTCAAATGTAATTCACAAATTTGATTTGGGCTTTGAGAGGGGTTCAATGAGTTGATTTTAGGTCACACAATTTTAGGTATGGTTAGGGCTAGAAATGGTCATGACCTGTTTCACTTAGAGCCCATGTTTGTTTGGTTAGCTAAGTGAACAAGTTTGAACTTTTTTTCTAAATACATAACTTATAAATGATAGGTTTGAATAAGTTGTTGCTCAATTCATTCATGATCATGAATGATGTCATAATAATTGATTTGATAAATGAATGAAAAAATGCATATAGAAGGTATGTTGAAGTTATAAAATATATTATGCTTTAGTATTGACTAGTATTATGAATAATTATTGAATGGCCAAAGAGTTTTCAATCAGAATATAATTACCTAAAAAGAAGGCATGTTCGGGCAAATAAATGATCTTTTTATGATTCTATTGGTCTTTTAGAAGACATATAATCGAGTGTCTTAAGAATTAATTTGGGTGCAACCAAGTAAAAAAATGTACGTTAATGGTATGTCGATGTTATTAAAGATTATGATGGAGTATATGACTAGCATATAAGTAGTTGCTGAGTGAACAAATAGATTTCAATAACAATATAATTACATCAATGATCAATATTAAGTCAGCATCTTGTTGTAATTTGGTTATAGTGATGGTTATAAAGGATATTTAAAGTGAGGTACATTGAGGTATGCTTTTTGCAGATGCCATAATTAATTGGTTAGACATGTTGAAATAAATTGAATGTTAAAAAATGGAGAAAATATTTGGAAGACATAGACTTAGTATTAGTAAAACATGCACTGAGTATGTGATATATAATTTTATTGCGTTGTTAATAATTATCAATTAATATTTTTTTTTGATAAAATCATACTTAGAATTGATAGGTTTAAATATTTATCTATTATTAACTAGAGTATGATTTAGATGAGGATATAATATTTAAAGCTAGTGTGGTTGATTAAAATAAAGAGATGCTTAAGAGTACAATAATATATTAGAAAATATTATTGAGAGTCATAAGAAATTTTATAAAATTGAAATTAGATATATGATTTTGTAATTTAAATGTTGGGCTACAATGAAGTCCTTGATAACCAAGTTGATCATGTTATAAATTAAAATATAATGATGGATGGATGATAAAGCTAGGATTGAGAGATTCATAATTGGTATAAAGAGATTTTGAGTTAGCATCTATTGAAGATAAGGTGGTGGAATATGAACTTAGGCAATTTGTATGCACAATGAAGGTTAGAATACAATAATAAGGTATGTATTAAACTATGATGATGACAACAATTTTATGTATAATGCCCTTTAGTTTTTTTATATTGATGTGATTAATATTTAATTAACTATACTTATGATTGTGCTATTCGTACTAGAACTTTTCTCTGGAATTCTAAGCATGATATAGCGAGGTTACACTTTTTTCCCAAGGATGATCCAAAGTTAGTTTGGAATATAAGTCAATGCTTTCTCATATGATAATTTCAATGGGTTTTTAAAGAAAATTGTGAACATATATGTGGATGATGAAGGAATTATGTGTCTTCTTGTTGATGGCTCAGAATAGCTAGCGTCTTGCCCTTGAGCCTTCAATGTAAATAAAAAAAATATGGGGGTAATATTTTTGAGGTTGATTACTTTTATTTTAACCAGATTTCCCCAGAAATTTAGATCAAAATTTATTTGAATATGTGGTCGAACTAACTATAAGTGTAAACCTCTATAGTTAGTTACCATTTTTGCTCACCTGAGAGCATTATGAATTAAGTAGGTTTCTTAGTCTCAAATTTAGTCTTACCTTTGGTTTCAGGTGTGAATTTAATTGAGTGGGGAATAGTTGGGGTAATATAGTTAAATTCGATCTATATTTCATGGTTCCATCATCCTAAATATATAAGTGGCCCTAGTCTACCAATGTTAAAGGGATTTGAACCATAACATCTTGGGAAAATGATTAGCACACCATGGGTTGTCTCCTATCAGACATCCTAAGTAGATCAAGGTAAAATGTGAAATGTATGTATGTCAAAGACATACTTTGGAGATTTATCTTGGCTCATAGAAAAGGACTTGTTATACTTGTTTCACTAAGTAATTTGAGGGACAAAGTATGATTTCTTGCGGTTTAGAGGTGCTAAACATGACCAAAAAGAGCTTAAATATATGATATGACCATTAGTTTTTCATATGTTTCAGCTCGACTTGAAGAAAGATGTCTATAACACATGAGATTTTTTGTTTGTGTGGCTTTAATTTTTGGAGTTAATTTTGATTGTTGTTCTTGTTAGCATGTTAACTAGATCGAGTGTAAGTTAGGATGGGTCTTATATCAATTAAAAGACCCAAATATTAATTTAATGGATTTATTGTCTCTGTGTTAACCCAAATTAATTGGGCCTTGGGCATATATCTATTGAAGACATATAACTGGGACTTATGACCTATGCAAAGACATAGAATGAACTTATTCTCTCTTTCAAAAGAATGTTACGTCGGTCATCAATGAGAGTTTTTTTCATATCCCTCAACCTATGGTACTTCTCTCCAATGATCGTTTGAGGTGGGAATGGTGGATTTTTGCGAAGTTTATTTAAAAAAGCACCATAATTTTATTTTTATGATTCTACAAGTCGCTTGTCATAAAAGCATTTATTTCTTACATCTACAAGTTGTTGGTCATAAAAGCATTTAGGAGTTCTTACATCAATAACACTTAAAACTATATTATTTATACATCTAACAACTAAACTTACCTATTTACACACATACCACTAAAAAGCTATTTGACTTTCTAAAATACCACTCTGTTTCCTCATCGTGAAAACCCACTTGATACCCTTGTTTGTGTGCGAAACTCATCTTCCTCGGCGTTTGCTCATCTTCTCCATTCTGTCGAAGAACAAAACACATCTCTGCTCCCGTCGAAACGCGGCCCACCGTTCTCGTCAGGCCCTCCCGTCTAGCCTCCTGTCCGTTCTGCCTCTGGAGCAGAACAACATCGATTAGGTAAACAACCTCCCGTCCCAACCAAACTCCTGTTTCAGCTGTTCGGTGCAAGTAACTGAAGCGGATAAGGAGGTTTATGGCTGGTGTTTGTGAGATCTAAAGGTATGAACCATAACAACAAAAAAAATAAAGAAATCGATATTCTTACATATAACTAAAAAAATCATTGAAAACTCTAGACGGAAATATTTGGGTTTCATTTTGCAAACCTAGGAGAAGCAATGGAGAACGGAGCTGCTGGGTTTTCATCGGAGCTCCTCAGCTCAATTCGCTTCTCATAGATCCTATTTGCTATTTATTTCCTCTGCTTGGGGATCTATGTTACTGTGAGATCTTTTGTGTTTGTTGAAGGGATTTGCGAGAGATGAGAGAATTCCTTATGTTGATGTTTGGATGAAGACCTGTTAATTTTTTCTTGCAATGTGATTGTCGTTAATTATTAATAAAAAAAAATGGGGACTTGACCAGCGAAGAAGCCAACGATCGAACGGGTTTTACGGAATGGAAATGGGGTGTTATTTTAGAAAGTTAAATAGCTTTTTAGTGGTATGTGTGTAAATAGGTAAGTTTATGTGTTATATGTGTAAATAACATAGTTTTAAGTGTTATGTATGTAAACGTCCCAAGCATTTATTTCTTACACCTACAAGTTGCTGGTCATTAAAGCATTTATTTCTTACAGCTGAATGTCCCGATTGAGACAGACATTTATTGTTGGTTATTATATGTTCCAAGTCATGTGTAAATTGTGTTGTAGAGATGTTTAACCTTGCAAGTAGCTGGTGTGGATCAATCTTGTCGAGGCAAGTTCGTGTGGGAGCATAATTCTACTCTGACCCATGTTCCCATCATGGGCGCCATTGTTACTCAGATTGCCAGCATGCCATTGATTATTTAATCCCTTAATTGAGTTTTATACTTCATGATATGCCACTCTGTTAACCGAGCAACTCATCATGTATATGTGCAATCTGAAGTCATAATAATATATGCTGTGTAGCCTTCCATGGACTTTTATGGTTGTGGCAGGGGGTCTCCTATTAAGCTGTGGTTTGCTTCTTTGTTCTATTTACATATTCAGGTATTGAATAGCTCTGGCCTCTGGGTTAAGGTCGGAAGATCCGGATCATTGCTAGACTTCAAAGATATTGTGTTTTTGAAATCGTAAATTTTCAGCAGAAGTCCATTTTATTTATTTTCTATATTTTTGATATGAGTATTAAAATCCAGGAATTGGTACTGAAGTTAGAGTTGAACCGTTTTATATTCTGATCATTAGTTTTAGCTTTTGCAGTAGTTTTGTTCAAGCTGTATATGCATGCCTTTGGACATAATTACTCATCAAATTAAATTTTCTTTAGTTTATTGGGTGTGTGACAGGCATCCTAGAGGAGGTTTTAGGGATAAAAATATGGGATTTTATTCCCATACAACATCAATGACTTCCTATTATGACTGAGATCCTGCTGATCTACCCCTGTTATGTGAATAAGAATTTAGGCATATGAGAAAATAGTTATACCCTTTCTACTCCTTGACATATCCATGTAATATATTGTTCTATGAGCAATCATTAATTGCATTTCGAATGATAAATGTCAATAGGTTCAATGCACTTTCAGATTGATTTTGGGTTGACTTGGCTTTAATTTTGCTTCAGACTGCCCCATACCATAAGCAGTTAATGGGAGTTTTAGGCTTCGTTTGGTTATCCTCCACCTTTTCTAAAAGTCAGTTTTAAAACAATTGGCTGAGAAAACAGAGTTTTAAAACGGAGAAGTAAATACCCTAAAGTTTTTTAAAACAGTACAAAAATACAGTTCTCCAAAATGTATTTCTGCAAAAGTGTCACAAACAAACAACATAAAAAAAAATCCTCCATTTTCAAACGGAAAAGACAAAAAAACACCCAAACAAACAAAACCTTAATCCATAACTCCTAACCTATCTTTTATAAATTGATTCCATACTAGCCTAAAATGTGTGGGTTGTTGTTCAGATAGAACCTGCGATTGAACTTAAAGATGAAGTACTAGTATTAGCATTTAGGCTTCGTTTGGGATGACTTTCTTACTGTTTTCTGAAGCAGTTTTTTAGTACAAAAATTAAAACTTTTGTACTAAAAAGCTGCTTTAAGAAGTAGTAAGAAAGCCGTCCCTGAAATTTCTTTCATTTCATTTCTTTTAATCATCTGGTAAACTTCTTTTGACGGTCTTCATTACAGGGAGGTGATGGACTTTTCAATGAAGTTCTTAATGGGCTTCTGTCTTCTAGGCATAAAGCTCCTTATCCACCAGCCCCTACGAGGCTTAATACTACTGATGTCAAAGACCCGCTTCAGCTGCATGTTTACGAGGATAGCAAAAATGTCAGAAACTCCCTGACCAGCCACAGTGACATTTTCGTGGAGACTGCACTAAAGGGTGAAGATCGTGAGCCTCTTCTCTCAGCTTCAGAATCTCATGGCTTGGGTATCTCAAAATATAGCGTGTATCTGGATATTTATTTCTTTTCCTCTGTAAACATCACTATACACAGTACTAAACTACTGTAGTTGAGCCTGATTTATTTATTCATTTGATGTCAACAGCAACCAGTGAACAGGAATCATTTTGCTCAGGTTTGTTTGTGGCATTTTGTCATCTTGGTATTTGACTAGATTTTTGTAACTTCATTACCATTAGAGTGATTATGTCGTAATCTTAATTTTATATTAATTTGAATTCTTTAGCATAATTGCTTTGTTCAACAGTACAGATCAGAGCACTGCAGTTAGCTTCCCCAACGATTGGCTTAGACTTGGAATCATTCCTGCTGGCTCAACTGATGCCATTGTCATCAGGTACATGCTTTGTTTCTGTACTGTTGAGCGTCTTTGGTCTGGAAGGTTTCCGTAATTCTTTGAACGGCTACAATGCAAAATGCCAGAGCTCAGAGAAAAATTCATCATGTTTTAATGCAGCACGACTGGTGTGCGGGACCCTATAACATCTGCATTACACATTATCCTTGGGAAAAAGATCTCTTTGGATGTAGCTCAGGTGGTTAGATGGAAAACCACTCCATCTTCAATAGATACGCCTTCAGTGCGCTATGCTGCTTCTTTTGCTGGGTAAGTATCATATTCGTGATTAGAGTTGAATCGAAGATTATACTACTCGGCCAAAGTTATGTTTTTCACTTCAGAATTATTTTTTGTGATAAGAATAGGGACATTTACCTATTAGTGTATGGAGTGTATGGCTCTATGGATTTATTTTTACCTATTTAACAACCTTAATTATTTTAAAATTGCATTTATGACTCTAGTGAGTGTATGACTTTATGGATTCATTTTTACCTCTTTAACAACCTGAATTATTTTAACATTACATATATGACTCTCTAATCCATTGCAGTGTATAATATAGCAGTAACACGTATTCTTTATATATGTTGGGGACATTTTCAAACTAAGCTTCATCTTTTGGTTAAAACCTAATTGACAATTATTATATATCCTTTACATACACTTTTAACATGCAATTATCATCTATTAGACATGATGTTGAAAGTCTAGTAGCACTAATATTGCTATTAGTTTTAATCATTGTAGCATGCTTCTGCACCAATTGATTTTGAAGTTTTTTATTCATGTATTTTCATCCACTTCTAATGAAATATGTTTTATTATAGATATGGATTTTATGGAGATGTCATCAAAGAAAGTGAAAAGTATCGATGGATGGGTCCTTCACGCTATGATTTTACTGGAACTAAAGTTTTCTTGGAGCATAGGTTGTTTTCTTCTCCCATATCTTGAATTGATGCAGATACATGATGCATTTGAACAATATTCCATGTTTTATTTACCTTTTTGGAATTTTTTTTCAGAGCTTATGAAGCTGAAATTGGTTTCTTAGAAGCTAAAGCAGTTGATGCTGATGATGAAACACTAGTGTCTGGGACACACCAAACACGTCTTCCTAGAAGGAACCCTACTAAAAGAGTTTGCCTTACTAAGTGCAGTGTTTGTGTTGGACCAACTAAATCATCTCAGACTCTTACAAATGGAAGCTCCTGTAGCTCTGATGGTCATGCTGAGGATTCGAGATGGTTACGAAGCAAGGGGCGCTTTCTTAGTGTTGGTGCAGCTGTAATTTCATGTCGTAATGAACGGGCGCCTGATGGTTTGGTCGTAGATGCACATCTCTCTGATGGGTTTCTCCATCTTATACTAGTCAAAGATTGCCCACGACCTTTTTATTTGTGGTAATTTTAACAATCGCGTTATTCATTTCATATCTTTCTTGCACTTTTTCTATTAGTCTTATCCATGCTCTCTAATGATTCCTGACGGATGCATTGTTTCTTTAATTTATGACTTGGGATGAACTTTTTGGTTGTATGTTCTTTTTTTGTATATGGCTACCTCTTGAAATTGCTGATGTTGATGTTGATTTTGAATAGGTGAATAAATAAAACAATAAGATCGTTAATCATGCTATGTAACATTATATGATTGAGTTGCAGTCTGATATCCATGAGTTTGCTACTCGGTTTTATGATATGAAATCTGACAAGAAGATCAAAATGGTTTAGGCTTCATGCAATGGATACGATCACACGTTGGAGATGAATATAAAGCTTGAATTGTGTAAGAATTTGGAGGTCCGATTTTGGAGATGTGTGATCGTGATAATTTGCATAATCATTTTACTGATATTGATCATGATGATAATGCCTTCAATATGGTTTGGAATAATAATCATTATAGCCATATGATTGCATGATATCTAACAACCTGAAGGGCTAGATTCATTCCAAGGAGAGGACTTTTTTTTTTGAGCTGAGTAGGTATCACGGTTTAAAATTGCGCAAGTTAGTATTGAGGCATTTTTTGTTTGTGAGGCGTAAGTCTCAAGACTTTTTGAGGCGTAAGCCTAAAAAAGAATTGCGTTAAGTCAAAATAAATGTTAAATTTGATTTTTTATATAATGTTGAAATAATATTGTAGACGGTGACATATTAATTTTCTATTGAATTATGAAGTAACAAATTAACCTATATATGAAATAAAAAATTGCACAAGGCGTAAAGTGACAAGTGATAATTTATTTCTTCTTCATTTATTTTTGTCATTTTTCTCTTTCATAAACATGAGATTAATACTCTAAAAATTTTAAAGGAGGTGGTGGTGGTGTGGAGGTTTCAAGTAATCATCAGTGGAGGTTATGACGGTGGTGACTATAGAGAAAATAGAGGGCTGGAGGTCAAGGAAGTCTATAGGAGGTTGTTGGAGCTTTGGGGTGTGTTAAAAGTGTGATTGGGTCGGGGATTTAGTTTAGGATTCACGTAAGTTTTATATATATATATATATATATATAAGGTGAGGCGTAAGCCTTATGTTAGCGAGGCGTGGTGTGCCTCAAGGCGGGCATAAGCTAAGTTAAGGCGCAAGCCTCATAAAAAATATTTGAGGCATAAGCCTTGATCTATTTGTCACTAGAATTGCGTTGAGGCAGGCCTCAAAGCAAGCCTCATATTTCCTAATTTTAAACAATGGTAGGCATTTGGTAAGATGGTTTATAATGCTTTAGGGTGTGGTCCACATAGGTTGGTTTAGGGTTTCAGAGCAAGAGGGTTATGTGGGAGTAGCTATAATTTAAGGAATTAGGGTTTAATTGATAGGCTAAAATCATCGACTTGCGGAGAAATTGAGAGTATATGCCATTAAAATTAATCAAAGTTTTGAACACACAAGTTGTAGAGAATTACGTGATTAACTCAGAACCAAAAGGCACAGTTCCTATGAAAATGAGGGGGCTAAAACCAAAATACTAATTGGGGATCACAAAGGTTCCGAATTAGGGTTTAATATATATTATATAGACTTAGGAACGATTAAGGTTTGTTGAAGCCATGTGGAAGAACGTGATAATGAAGAGGTGGGACAAAGGAAAATCGTTTCATCGTAATAATTTATATTTGCTTGAAAATTAATATCACGAAATCCTTTTTTTGATGTATGGATTCTTTGCTTTTGATGTTAGAATGTTTGACAGTTATATTAAATTCATGTAGATGGTGAATAGTCCAATACCAAATTAATAGAGAGGCTTATGGAATTTACTTATGTTGGCCAGTTGGATAAGGAAAAAACTAGGGTTTAAGGTTGGAGTTCTTGGGGGACAAATGGAACTTGAGAGTTATTGAATAGAGAAGATTAAACGTAGAAATTGACATATGGAAAATGCCTTGAATGAGAAGAAAGGAACAAGGCACATACACAACATGGAGTGATCCATAAACACAACATAGATCAATGGAAGAAGAAACAATCAACTATCAATGGCCTCATCAAATAATTCATTCATTGTAATCATCTAATGGTTCATACATGAACTCCTATTTTTAAAGAAAAATAAAACTTTAAATTTAATATGAGATTATCCTTTTTTTCTTTATCAAATTTAATCTGATAAAAAAGTATAATAAATGTGAATCCGGCTTAAATTTGTTTGGTTCAACTTCCTTGCAGCCTGGTTTGACTCGTTATAATTAGCCTATAAGAAATTGGACCTTTGTAAGTTGATTTAATCGAATGTTTATCCAATACTGATAGTACTGTATAAAGTTTAGCATGAACCTCCATATCTTTCTGACTCAATTCCAGGTTAGTGGACTTATTATAGTCTTGTATGGAGGAAAGCTAGCTTCTTAGGTTCACGAATGATACACACTTATATCTGTACTTTTTGTTCGATATTAATAGTTTATAAGTCATCCTACCGCACATGTTTTCTTCTGTTTGAAGTTTAAACCTTCATTCCTTCAAACTTCGAAGTCCAATTTTCTTATATTTAGGTTTCGTTTGGGACAGCTTTTTTATTGTTTTCTAAAATATTTTTTTCGTAAAAAAATTCTAATTCAAGAATTTTTTTAACTAAAACACAGTTTTAGTAAGCATTAAAAAAGTTGTCCCAAACGAACCCTTAATATTTTATGATAAAACTCACTATTTGCAACTTTCAACCAAAATTTAAAGATTGGGCTATTGAAATTTGAATAATCTTACATGGATGCTATAAGAAACTTTCTGATATTTAGAAAATCGTGAAGATGGTAAAAATTATTGGTTGTCTTGAAAAACATTTTTTTTATGAGACTGCATTTTATTTGAAATGATGAGTATTGGGTAAGTTTTTTGATATGTTCAGAAAAATAAACTGATTTACTTTGTTTTAGGCACCTAACTAAGCTAACAAGGCGGGGTTCTAATCCACTGGATTTTAGTTTTGTGGAACATCATAAAGTAAGCCTTTATTTCCACTTTATTATCATTTGTTTGTTCAGAGAAGTTATTATTTATTGCCGTTGCTTTTTGTAGACGCAAGCATTCACCTTTGTTGCAAATCATGACTCGAGCGTTTGGAACTTGGATGGAGAACTCTTTCAAGCTTGCCAAGTAACAGTAAGGGCATGCCATGGCCTAATAAATTTATTTGCAGCAGGTCCAGAAGCTTAATACTGGGTGAAGGCCCTTCCAGCTTTGCAAACAAATTTGTTATTTACAGGCTAATAACAGAGTAGGTAGCTGTACCAATGGTTTCTTACCAAAACGTTTGATTAAGGCTTCGTTTGGCGGGGCTTTCTTACTTCTTCTTAAAGCAACATTTTAGTACAAAAATTTAAATTTTTATAGTATAAAGATGCTTTAAGAAGTGGTAAAAATCAGTCCCAATTAAAAGCCTAAGATTTCGTTTGAGACGGCTTTTTTATTGTTTTTTAAAACAGTTTTTTAGAAATTTTTATACTAGAAAGCTATTTAGAAAGCATTTAAAAAAGCTGCTCCAAACGAAGACTTAGGCTTCGTTTGGGACGGCTTTTTTACTGCTTTCTAAAATGGAGTTTTAGTACAAAATTTTTTATTTTTGTACTAAAACTCCATTTTAGAAAGCAATTAAAAAGCCGTCCCAAATGAAGCCTTAATGCATTCCTTCAGAGTCTATTTTTAAACGAAGAGGGGCTGAATTTGTGTTGCAATCAATAAATTTTATAATTTTATGCCCTTTTTAATCTTATTTTGGAATAATGAGTGATAAATAAATGTTAAAATATGCGAGAGAAACAAGTTTCTTAAAATTTTCAACTACTGGGCCTGGATTTTTTGGCCAATCTCTTTCTTTTCATCCAACAGTATTATTTAACTGTTTTTTTTTTTAAATACTAATTTCGTTTAGTGTACGACTAAACTTATGAAGTGTTATCTATCAGATGCATCTATTTCTGTGTACAGATAAGATAGTCTTTGATTTCTCGGGGCAGAAATTTTTACTCTTAACGTTCTAATTGAGAGTTAAAGAAAGATTGCGTTACCAATTGACTTGACCGATTAGTTAAATGGGTCACAAGTTCAGTTTGAAATTTAACTCACCTCTATCCCAATTTGATCGGTTGACCTGATTAGTTGGCAAGGGAGATCAAGTGTGGGTAGTCGAGCCGGGCTAGAGAGCGAGTGAGCGAGTTCAGGCGAGTGCGAGCGGGATGAGTGAAGAAGCAGGAGAGCGCGGGTTGCTTTTGGTTGACTTTTGCTTGACTTGAATTTGCAATTGGATTAGAATTTGAAATTCGAAATTGGACCTATCTTTCAAACGGGTTGATCCTAAATTAAAAATTTTTAGTCGGATTTTAAAGTCGTATTAAATATTGACCCCTATTTCAAATCTTAATAATTAATAAAATAAGTTGCCCCTTAAAAAGTGAATTAAATACGTGTAACTGAAATCAGAAGGAAAAAAAAAAAAATTCTTCCTCTTCTTAGTGGGCACTCGCATGTTCGAATCTCACGCGTAGAGGCATTGTATACGACTAAAGCATTTGAGCATTAATTCTATAAATTTTTTCAACTAATCTCCCCAACTTTCCACTTCAAGAGTTCGGACCTTTGCAAGTCATTAACAAGTAAAAGATGGATTCGATGATAAGTATTGCATCTGCAGCAACAGTAACAGTTTCAAAGTGTTAGAAAATAAAATTATTAAAATAAATATTGGATACAAATTGGCAAATAATAGCATATATTAAAAATAAAATAGTACAAATAAAAAAAAATATTTGAGCAGTAGATAAAATTAATTTAAATAATAAAAAAACAGAAATATACAATAAAAAACCATAAATAATGAGAGCATTGCCTAAAATACATTTTTTTATCACGAAATAGTTTGTTAGACTAATCCGTTTGGAATGACTTTATTATTGTTTCTTAAATCAATTTTTTAGTACAAAATTTTTAATTTTTTATTTAAAAATTATTTTAAGAAACAATAATAATGTCATCCCAGCCTAACAATTGATGATGATAATGAGGAATCCCTAACAACTAAAAAAATCGGTGGTTTTTTAATTCTAAGTAACAGCACATATGCTAAAGTTTCCGAACAAAACAGCCGAATTTTATGCCTAAATCCAAATGGGGCAAATTAATTGGAAGAGAAAAAAAATATGATCAATATCCGAAAATCAAAACACAAATATTAATACAATATTTGAATTGAAAATTTCGGATCATCCGAATCATTAATGCTAAAATGATCAAAGTTATTACTCTTAAAATCTTGAATCTAACTACATTTAAATAAAAATAATTGCAAGAATTTATAGTGATTTTAATAAATTGGTTTCATTCAAATTTTTATTTTTGGGTGGTGTATTATAAGAGCAGCTTCCGTGCTAGATAAGATTAGATAGAGCCGTCTTAGATGATTTGAAGATATAAAATATTGACCTTCTGATGGAGAAATTATTCTATGCGGAAATCGGATGGGAAGACTATTCGAACATGCAAGTGTACAGTGTACAAATTTATATACAATGTGTATCAACTTTTTGTACACAGTGTGTACACTCACAGTCCACACGGGTCTTCCCGTCCAGACTCCACATAGAATAATTTCTCCTTCTAATGACCCAGTTAGGAGAGTACATGCAATGCATTTGACCTATGTTAAGAAAATAGAGGTAGACTTAAAAATATTTTATTAGAAAATATTAGAAATTATCTTTTTTTATTATTTAAATGAGAATATTTAACTCATAACATAACACAAAGAATAAAAAATAAAAATAAAAATAAAAAATAAAAAGTATCAAAATTCCATATAGAAAAACTTAGACTGAGAGAATCAATCTAATATGAGGTTCACAGAATAACTGTAGTCTGCAGGCGTAAAGAATATGACAAGTATTTGTCTCTTTATCCTTAGCTTACATTTCTTTGGCGTGGGACCAACGCTATCTAATATGCAAAGCACCTTTTTTTTATTTAATTTTTTAGTTTGAATAATGTCATTATGGGAATTATGGGCAGCGTTCAAATACACACACAATACATACACGAGATTCAAACTCAAAATATTTTAATTGAGAGCTAAACTCCCAACCAACAAACTAAAAAGAGTTGCATTATATAGTTTTCATTATGTCAAGCATTTTACCATTTGACGTGAAAATCTTACACAACTATATATCCACTGAGGTTTAGGGTGGTTGGTTGACGAGCACGTTTGAGAACCCCTATCTCAAGTTCGAATCCCCTTACTACGACCACACCTCTTCAGTTGGACAAAACAAGTGTGGGCTCGATGCCGGTGGGTGGCCTTATGAGGTTCTGCCGAAGGATTATTTATGCCCCCAAGTGCTTTCTTTGGAGTGACAGCGGGTAGATACACCCGTTGCCAAAAAAAAAAAATTACACTTGTATGGATAAGTAGAGAGCAACACTCATGAGCCATGCGACATGTTATGTGAATAAATTTATGAAGTATATAAACTTAGTAGACTTAGCCTAGTCAAAATAAGTGCACAACACGAGGCAGAGTGTACAAAGGCGTCCTTCCATGTTACTGGAGAAGATGATAATATGTGATAAATATAAGCCGTAGAAGGTAGTTGATGGTGGATGTTTAAAATCTAAGAATAATATGGTCAGTTTGGTCATTTTTTTGTGTAGGGGTGTTAATATTTGACACGACTCAAAAATTCGACTCGAATCCGATCCTTAAATTTCGGGTTTATGTTGACCCAAATCAGAACCGGGTCGGATTAGGATTTTCGACCTATTTTAAAAATCGGGTCGGTTCGGGTTGACTCAAAAACCTGGTAATGACCCATGGTTTCCGAGCCTACCCGTTGTGACCCCAGCTGCCCGATTCTGCCTGCTATGACCACGGCTGCCTCGTCGTGCCCCGAGGTGACTCCGCGTCACGTCCCGAGGCTGACCATTCTGCCTACATCGTGTCCCCGCTGTCCTGAGCGACGAAACTGCCGGGTGACATTGTCTCTACTACTGTCACTATCTCCTGCGCCGGCCCGCCGCTGCATCGCACATCCATGTCCGCAGGTCAGGTTGGGTTGACCCGAACACGAAGTTCGTGGTTTGACCCGAACCCGACCCGTGACCCAAAATTAACACCCCTAATTTTCTGCATATGAGGTTAGATTATATGACTAATAAGATGAGCACCAATCATCATTGGCCAACAAACATTTATGATTGATCCTTGGTTGTTGTTGGACACCGATCAATGGCCAAGGAATGTTGGAAGTTGGATGATAGTCAGTGATGATCATATACAATTTTGTCATTAGTACCTTGTAAAACCTAATTGGGTTAATTGACCAAATCTATATTTTTGAGCAAATTGATTGGCTTGAAAGCTCTATATCTTCACATTCTGAGGATGGTGAAAAGGAAGTGTTTGAACATGTTGACTTTGATCCGAATGAAAGTCGTGGTCATACTTTCGTTCAGATGGGCAAATGGAGAAAGAGGAAATCCAAAAAATAGTTTTTTTGTTGGCTGCTGCTTTGGAGCTGTGGGGTTGTTGTTGGTGGTGCCAATTTTTGGGTCTTTGGGCTACGGCTTTGGATGCCATTGTAACTTTGGTTGTAAAAATTTGTCTGCCGGGCAATTGGTGACTTTCTCTGACTCCTTTTTTGTTTGCTTGTGCTTAGGCTGGTCTTCTTTTTGTACTGTCTTGGTTTTTGTTTTTAGGCGAGTTCCGAGAATCTTAGGCTTTTATCTTTCATTTGATGTATTTTAGTGAGCTTTTGAGTCATTCTGAACTTTTTTTTTTCTCTTCATTAACGCGTAGACCTCTTCCGTGGGATTTTATCAAAATAAATAAATAAATCATGCATGCATGAAATTTATATCTGAACTGATTAGGAATTTTCATGATCGCAATAACGACCATTTAAGTTTAATTTATGTAGATCTCGATATTTAAGTTGATTTTGCTCCATTTTCATCTCTATTTGACAAGTCCTCTCTTATGCGTGGATAAGTGTTTAGTAGATTTTCTCATAGATATTCTCTAAAGTTGAAAATCATTCTGTTAAAAAGATTAGTCGTCTCATCCATCCAAATTAGATTAGATAACTAAGATTTGAAAACTTCACTTGTCGATTATCAAGTTAATCTAATGGGTCAATATATCTACCTGAATTTAAGACCTAATATTATTTAACTTTGGAGTTCAAATTTTGATTAAAATGATAGACTTTTTGGTATATTTCTTAGAAGCAAAGCAAAAACTCTAAGAGCAAAATGAAACTCCAGACATCAATCTCTAAGCTAAGTAAAGATGCTCCATTCGTGTAAGAATTGCAGGGAATCGAAGTCCTCCTCGGCATTAGAGCCACCACCTTAGACTTTATGATTCTCCGAAGCTTTTAAAAGCTAGCGTATGTGCTCCAAAAGAAGAATCCTAGTCATGTCCGTTTCTTTCAATCACCTTCTCTAATAAACCCCAGCCTTGCCACTCCTCTACCTCCGGACAAAAAACTGAAAATCCGGACGAATACCAAGCAATGCCGAGTGCTCGGTACTAAGCGACCAAGTGACATGACGCTTTGTTATTGGTCTTTGGACGCGTTCGGTGTCCAGACACAATAATTACTCCCTCAAATGATCCTATTATCCTATGGCATCTATTGGTAGAGTCGAGATTTTAACTTGAGGATTGAATCAGTTTTTAATTTGGATTGTGCTTGGATTTAATGATATGAATCAAGCTATCAATCAAACTTTTGGCTCAATCTCATCTTCGAGCTGATTTTGATCTAGGCTTGAATCAGATCGAATTTGCTCAAAATTATAATCGAATATATATATATATATATATAT